TATAGATTATAATTCAAAATGTTTTTGAAAAATTTACAAAAATTATTCTAAAATACAAATTTTAAAAATAAATCATAAAAATGGGTAAATTTTATTTGAAATATTCCATTTAAAATACATACAATTATGCCTTTTAGTTTTTCTAAATGTATAACAGATGGCAGCACTAATATTCATTCATGGAAATAATGCAAAATAAAAATTGTTCGAAGCAGTTTTTTTTTTTCCTTTCTTAATTTGTTATGCAGTTTAATTCGTCTGAACAACAGCTTTTGGTGTTAGAATGAATATTTTTATCTGGAAGTTTTCCTTTCTAATAAACATTATTATTTGAATTCATATATATTAACTAAAAATGGTTGAAATTAAAAGATGGGGCAGATACCCCCACCATGTATGTAGGAAATGCTGCTACTAGATGGCAGCACCATTAATTTTCTTTTTTTAAATTCAAGTATCGTGCTCATTTCATATATAGGTAATGCAAATTTATATTTTTTAATAAATTGCAGTAATGTTAAAACTTAAGTGTTGGTGTATTTAATTATGGCAAACCCCACACTAGGGTTATCTGCCTAAGGGGAGGGATGCCTTCATGGAGGACTTTCTAAGGAAAACTGGCTCATATACACGTTACACATGGGGAAAACCACGAAAACACCCATGCAGCCAGCCCATTCGTGGGATTCGAACCTCGGACCGAACTACCAGTATTCAGCGACTTTACTGCTCAGCCGCTGGTGGGCGTTAAAACTTCGGAAAGATTTAGTATTTTTTCTGAAAGAAATGAAAATATAACCCCTGTAACATGAAATGTCATTGAATACTGAATGCATATGTGAGTGTCATATGAGAGAATGTAAATAAATATGATGGATTTCTAAATATCCTCCTTTTCAAATCTGTAGCAAATAAAGTACTGGAGCGAAAATCTTCTCTGATTCAAATCCATTATGAAATAATTAAGAAATATCTGAAAAGTGATACAGGGTGTGAGTTTTTAAAATTATATAATTTTTTTTAATTTTTTTTTTTTTTTTTTAATTTTGCGAATATGGTTAATATTTTCTAGATATTTCATCAAAAATGTTTTTTTATATCTTGCATTTTCATTTGGTTGCGAAAACTAGCACTTTATATAAACATGTTAGGAGAATCTACACTTAGGCAAAGATGCCATTTTATTACTCTAGATGCACGGTGGGACAAGCAGTATCCCATCGCATTATGAATTATCGTAAAGTTTTACCTTTTTTTTGTTTGTGCATGAAATAACTTTGTATTAGGAGCTAATTATCTACGGGTAAAGTTTAAAAAAGAAAATTAAAGGTTAATTAAAAAAACATTGATAATTATATACCAAATTTGATTAACATTGAGAAAGAAGCTAAAATTTTGAGTGCTAATTTTTTAAAAACTACAAGTGTGATTTTTACAAAACCTGTCAGTTTTGCATAATTTGAGTCATAGAATCGAAATATAGAAACAAAATTGGCATGTCAGTGCAAAAAAAGTTCAAATTTGTGTTAAAATACCTATTTTAGAACAACGCTATATATAAATCTTATGGGCCCACCAGCGGCCGAGCTGTAAAATTGCTGAACACTGGTAGTTCGGTTCGAAGCTGCAAACGGGCTGCCTGCACGCATTTTGCCATTTTCTCCATGTGTAACGTGTATACGAGCCAGTTTCCCTTAGAAAGTCCTCCACGAAGGCATCCATCCCCTTAGCCAGATAGCCCTAGTGTGCTTTTCCGTATTCTCAATACACCAAATATAAATCTAATACATATCTTAAGTCGCACTTTCAAGACATGAAAGTCACAAGCTGAATTTTGTCAACTGGCCCAGTAGAGCCAAAGATATAGAACTCTCCCCTCCTCTTTTTTTTCCCCACAGTGTACCTTATTTGTTCTGATTCTCTTTCTTCTCCTCATCTTTTGAACAATATTACCAGCAGTGACAAATTAGTAATTGAATATCTTATTAACTGTCAGTTTGCTTAGAAATAGAGGAATTGATATCTATTTTGCTTATGTGCATGCTCATCATGGATTGTATGGAAATGAAAGAGCTGATTTTTTAGCCTTAATTTGCCTTAAATTTACCCTTAAGGTTACCTTTAAGATGCCTTAAATTTACCCATGCATATCAATATTAGCATTCCAAAGAGTCCTTTCATTATAAGAAGCTTTTAGCTAAGTTGAATGAGGAATATATTTCATCTTGTAAGGCTAAAGGCACCAAAAGGTTTTTTCTTTCTGCATACCATAGACATTCCCTGCATTCCGAGTCTTTCCTTTCTACTAATTTTTAAAGTATCGTAGTTTTTATCTGGTCACAGTACATTTGCAAGTTACCTGTTTTGTTTCAATCCAAGTTCAAATAATTTATGTGAATTTAAAAAAAATTACCTCAAGATATGGAACATTTGATTTTTTCGTGCCCTACCTTTGATGGCCCTAGATTATGCTTGCAGAACAAGTTGAAAATGTTCGGCTGCAGTCCGGACTCCTGTTCTCCGTTTTTGTTCGTTTCATTTACGCATGTAATGTTTAATGTTTTAGTTACCTTCCTTGTGTAAGCCTTGTGTTGTACATCTGTGATGCACAGGGAAGCTGTAAGTGTTCAAAAAAAATTTTTTTAATTAAATTAAAATGTTCAAGAAAATGTGACAATCAGCAGCCTATTGATTCAGTAGAGATCTGAAGACTTAATTTTTTTTTTTTTTTTTTTTTTTTTTTTTTTTTTTTTTTTTTAAGCAAAGATTATTTTGTAGCAACAGATGGTTTACCTGGTGGAACAAGAGAGAAAACATTGCTTGCAAATGTGATGAGGGTGATAGTTGTTAAATGAATGGCCAAAATGTTTTGCAAAGTAATGTTCTTAAAACACTTATAATACATATTATCACACAGTGCATCAATACACATATTTGTTTTAAAGAATGTAAATTTATAAAAGGTCTTGTGACCATTTATGTTGCATCAATATGCATGATAAGAAAAAGGCTTTCGTAAACAAAGAATTTAAAAAGCAGTAAAGGAGCAAATAGTGTACCAGAGGACTATAAATATAATTCAAAGATGTGGATAATGCCAATAATTTTTAATGAATGGATTTTGAAACTGGATAACAAACCGAAGAATGATATCCTTATTGATAACTACACATAGTGTAAATATCTTACTTGAATACATTGAACTGTGTATTTACCAGCAAATACCATAACCATAATTCAAACATGTGATCAAGAGATTATTAGAGTAATGAAGAAGTATTAGCATTCTAGGTTGGTTGTTAGAGTTGTTTAACTCATAGATCAGTCTTCTCAAACTCAGATTGGATGCAGGCCGAATGCACAACCTAAAAGCAGCTGATGCTCCTTTTTTTAACAGAATTTTTTAACTGAAGTTAAAATTTTATTTACTAAATATTTATTAAAGCATACTTAAACAATATAAATGATGATTTGAAGGAAAAATTTCTCCTAAAATTCAAAGATTGGGATCTGCGAAAAAGTTCTTTTTTTTTTTTTTTTTTTCCAAACGTTTTGATAAATAAATATTAAACTTTTAGATTTACATTTATTTCAAGTATCTCTTATGTGTTGAATTAACCACTGAAAAAACTTTTGACTTGAACTAAAAATTTACAAATTACGAAAATTTTCAAAGTGGGACAAACTTTGAGAATAAATAATGGCAACATTTTTTTTAGATATTAAACTTATTATCAAATTATTATCAAATCTTATTATATCTTATTATCAAAGAAAATTTGATGCAAACAGAAAAAAATACATGTACTTGTATGTAAAATGTAAACTTCTTTATATCTTGCTACATCTTTCAGCTAGAATATCTCTTGCCATTTCAATTTTAAGAAATTTCGTAACCTTGGGGGAAAATTCCTAGAAACTATCTTTATCATAAATTATAGATGCTCATTAGTCATGCTGATTCGTTTTTTTTAGACATATTAATTTTTAGAGGCCAAAAAAATTTTCATATATATCACAATGTATTTTATTCAAAGATGTTAATTTTTAATGGCAATGAAAATAATGTAAAATCGGGCTCCAAATAATTAAAATGTTAACCCTTTCATCAAATTCTTGCCATAATAAATAATTTCATGAGAACGCTAATTAAAAGGAAATATGTTTGTGGGCATCGTAAAATTATTTCAGGGGTCACACGCAGCCTGTGTGCCACCAGTTTGAGTAGCTGATATGGATATAAGTACAAATGAATTGGGGAAACTCAGCTTCATGATTATTTGCTGAAATTGCTTGTATTTGCTGAAAATGTCTTGGAGCTATGTCTCAGAAAAGGCAGTAAAAAACTTTTGTAAAATTGCCAAACTTTTAATAAATGATGAAATAGAGAATGTTGAAAAAAAAACAATGTCTCCAACTAACTGATCTTTGAGGAATTTAATATTTAAGTAAATAGTGATTTAAAACTCATGTTGCAGGATTAATTAAAGAAGAAGACATCTGCTAGTCACTTTCTGAAACAAAACCAAGCACATCTAGAGATAAATTTTCTTAAGAAGAAAATTATGAAATTAGTAAATTTCTAATAAATGCTTTGATAAAGGATGTCCTTCGAATATTAAAATTAAGGTTTACAGCATTATTCAACAGATTTTACAGACATTTAATTGAATATTTATTAGAACTTCATTTGACATTTATCTATAGTTAATGAGAATTAAGTTTGTATCAGCGAAAAGTCCGTGTAAAATTTCATTTGCTTCACTGGTGCTTGAAATTGCTCTAAAAGTCCAACTTTTCATTTTAAGCATGAAGTAGTGCAATTTTTTCAGTTTTGTTTTTTCATTTATCCTTTTTTTTACTTGATGCTGTTCATTACTTTAAGAAAATATTTACAAAAGCTGTGTGTTTAAGATATTTTAAATATAATTAATTAATCTGATAACTTATTTTGATTTTGATTTAATATTAATTACTGTCTTACAAAATGCTATTTATAGATTATCTGGTAAAGCATCCAAAGATTTATTTGAAGAAACTCTTGCAAATGAAAAAGATGTTCAGTGGCCTGTTCTTTTGGCTCGCTTACAGTCATTAGATAAAGACAATGTAAGTCAAGAAAAATTTGTCTTTTGTGAATAATACTTGTGATTGTCAATGAAATGATAATTCATAGTTCTAAATTTTGTTTTTCTCTCTTTATAGGAGAAGAATTCACAGTGTCAAAGAAGTGATGTGCTTTTAGCTGAAATGATCCATTTAGCTGACAAAATTTTAGCTATTCTAAATAGTATTGAAATTCTTGCTAGTATAGGCAGCAAAGCAGATAAAAAGGAATTACTTGATTATAAAAAGTAAAAGATTTTTAAAATATCTATTTCATTCAAATTTTTTTCATAACTTAAAATTTCTAAATTAAAATCTACAATTCTTCAAGGAAGTTACAGATTTGCATTTCTTATTCAATTTTATTTTGTGAGGAGTTAACTTTTCTAAATGGTTTTGGCCTTTAATAACTATATGCTATTTTCCTTTGCTATGTACTATTTTACATTGCTTCAAATAATATAACTAGACTAGAAGCTAAAATCTCTTGCACTATTAGAGAAAGAAACTTTTATGTGTATTATGCATAATTTTCCTCAATGAAAAAAGGTCTTGTTATGTTAATTTAAATTTTTGAATAATGAAAGCAATTTGTAAGAAATTATAGATTTCTCAAGTGAATAGTAGTGGGTATCTGGAAGAGACTGTAAAAGCAGAAATAACTAACTCAAGATGAAATAATTATAAGACATTTATTAAGTCAGTTAATCAATGGGAAAAATCAATAAATGGAAAAAAGATGCTTATTGCAGTGACATAGATGAATTATTAAATGTTTCACACATTTAAAAACATTTTGCATTGCATGAAGTTTGTTGCCATTTATACGGTAAAACATATTTCCTACAGAGCATTCTATACATAAAAAATAAATGATAAAATTGCAACAAAATACACTCTATAACAAAAAAATTGATGCATCAAGAAGCGGTTGTTCTTGTCCAATGGAGACCAAAATTGATGGATGGGAAGATTTTGTACAGAATAGAAAATGACTAAAATTTCAGAGCAATTGAATGATTTATTTCAAAGGTACATAGTTACAAAGTAACACGAGCTCAATAAGGTGTTGACCCACCTCTAGACAGCATAGAAGCTGCCACACACCATGGTATAGACTGATAAAGCTCCCAAATGGTCTCCTGCAGTATTTCTTACCAAATTTGCTACAATTGTTGGGCTAGGTCATCAACATTCTCTGGTAGATGCAGTTGCCTTCCCATCATATCCCAGACATGCTTGATGGGAGAGAGGTCTGGCGATCTGGCTGGCCAAAGGAGTGTTTGACAAGCTGTAAGATAGTTCATAGCAACATGTGCCATTTGTGGTCTGACATTATCTTGCTGTAAAATAAGGCCAGGATACTGCAAAAGGAACGGTAGCAAAACAGGTCTCAGAATGTCATCAACATACTGTTGTGCTGTAAGTGTGCCTCTAACGATGACCAAACGGGTCCGGCTATCAAGGGAAATGGCATTCAAGACCATAACTCCTGGTTGAGGTACTATGTGGCGTGCACTACTGAAAGCAGAATCGGCATGCTGCTCTGGACATCTCCAGGTATGTTTCCAATTACTTTCACAACACAGTTAAAAGCGGGATTCGTCGCTAAAGACTATACGTCCCCAGTCAGCATCATTCTGACATGATCAAGCCAAGCACCACTGTAATCTGGCTCAACAGTGTGCAGGTGTGAGTGGCAGGTGACCTAGTGGTCAGTACAAGTGTAGATTTCGCTCTGTCAGCCATCTGTGAATGGTCATGGTGGACACTTGTGTGTGGGTCACACGTCTGATGGTTGATAACAATGAATCAGGCACCGTGACAGCTGATCTGACAATCAGTCTGTCCTCCTGATCTCTTGTGGCCCTAGGTTGACTGCTACCATCATGACACTGAAATCTGCCATTGTCCATGCATTCTTGTGAGCATTTTTTAATCCCCACACTCGTATGACTCGACTCGTATGACAAGCAATTCTCTGATTTGCGCAACCTGCCTCTTTCAGTGCAATGATATAACCTCTTGACAACTCTGGCAGTGTCTCGTAATAAACTAGAATCCGTTGGCAAGACATTTTTTCCAGTCATTGAAATGTATCTGAATTGTAATGCAAGAAAAATTTTTAACAACAGTTCAAGAACAGATCCTTATGTGCATCTGCTGGATGCCCAGTTCCAATGCGCTGGAGATCGCACTATTCATTCATTGGACACCAAATTTAAATCATTTGTGTATTTGGTCAAAGCATTTATGCATATGAAATTTCAAAGATTCCTTCTTGGTACATCGATTTTTTTTCTTATAGATTGTATTACATTGTAAAAGTATGCATAAATTCCACAGACTCATAAGACCTTCAAATAATTACACACTTGAGAAATGTTGTAGCTTTACTTTGTTTCTCTTTAAATTTTATCTGCCTTCCAGGCTTTGTGATATACAATAGAAATCAATATATCTACACTCCAGTTGTCCAGATTACTTGTACTTTCTTAGCAAAGAAAATCAGGATGCTTCTTAATTATGTTAATGTATTTGTATCATACATTGTTTCAATTCATATAAAAAGTAATGAAACACCAAGCATTTTTTAAGAACTTAATAAATTAATTTGGAGGACTGTGTATGAAGCATAAAGTTAACCTACGGTGTGCAATAAAAAACTGTGTTATAAACATAATTTATAAGTTTAAAAAAATTATAAACATGTTGTATAGTAGAACTTTAAACAGAATATTTATCGCTGAATTATGTGGTGAAATTTCGTCAATGCCATATTGATATGCTTTTTTGATAATTGTTAAGCTCAAAATGTTTCCACTCATAAATGGCTATCATCAAAGTAAACTTATAGAGAATTCTCTTAACAATGTTTTTCCTTCTTACAAACAGTTTTATATTTTCTGCAGTTACATTTCCAGTTGTTTATCCTTTCATTAACCACAAGCTAACAAGCTCTTTAGTCAACCATTAACGGCTTTTGTAAATACATACAGGTATGTCATATCATTCATGCTCCTGCTGTAATCTGTGGCAAATGAATAAGAGATTAATTCACTAGATGTTTCTTACATGTTTTAAGATTATTAGTAACGTCAATAACCCTGCACTGAAGAATCAAGGCAAAATTAGCATTTTAAAAATTAAATTCCTTTTTATTAAAATTTTGTATCTTTTATTTATTAAGTACTTGCTAGGAAGGTTTTTTGTAGCCTAGAACTTTTTGACTTGAAATATTAATGTTAAATCAGTCATCTTGTGCTTTGAGTCATACTGGAAAGTGTTATTTTAAAAGTTATTACAGCACAAAGTCTGGAATCCAGATGTCCAGTATCCAGAATGATCTAATATCAAAACCTCTGAGCTACAAACAGATTTTTTTTTTTTTTTTTTTCCTATTTTTCTTTCTCCCTCTTCCCCAAAAAATCTAGAACGTGAGAATGTGAATGAGAAATGTCAAAAATCGTTTGATAAAATCTGATTTATTTCACCAATGTGAACTGTTTGCGCAGATGATATTTGCGATGGTGGGAAACTCATTAAAGCCTGATATGTCTTAAGACTGTGATATCAGTTAAAATTAGCTGTAAAGTGCTTACATACTTAATAATTTTTATAGCTAACCCATAAAAATTATTAAGTCTGAATTATTTTTTATCTTGAAAGGCATACTTTCTGGCAAAATATGGCAGAACTGTAAAATTCTGAAAAACTGTAAGTTACTACTGCATTACCAAATAGTTGATTTCATTTGCTTATAAAGATCAGTTTAGCAGTTGATATCTTCAACAAATATTTATAAATGGGCAGAATTATTTATATTGAGTTTTGGAAGGCTGATTATTTTAGTCCATTTAAGAAAAAAATGCATATCTTCTTGCATGGTTTTTGTAAATGTAAGCTATTGCTGGTTCAAAATTAACATCATGGTGGGTGAAATGTTTAATATGCGTGATAGAAGGGAATGAAACATAAAGGGTGTATATATATATATATATACAGTACAAAGTCCGTAATCCGGACTCGTCGGGACTTTGGCGATTCCGGATTAGGGGTTTTTCCAGATTATAGGTCATCAATTTAAATCTGGTAAGTTGGTATGCAGAAGTTATACAATTAAAAATATGAAACCGTTATATATGAAATAAAGAACAATTATGATCTAAAAGGTATCAAAATTTACAAAGAGAATAAGCTTAATATTTATTTGTTTACTTTATTAAACATTTCTTTCAATGTAAGTTGTTTAAGTTGCTTCGTTTTTTTTGTACTAATACTTTCTCTTTAATTCTCTCTTCTATAAACAGACATAGTTTCTTGTTCAGTTACAATGTTCCACTGTTCAAATCCTGTAATTGCTGTGTCGAGAATACTGACTAACTTGTCAATTGAAATTTTTTCGTTTTCAATAACCTCTCTTTCACTTTCTTTACTATAGGAAGCACGCATGTGTAAATGCTTTACTGGCTGTACGTGCATGCGTAAGTTTGTCGCTTTGAGGTCCGGATTATAGATCATTCTGGATAATGGACGTCCAGATTATGGACTTTGTACTGTATATCTATTTGTTTATCATTATTTATTATCATTCCAAGGATATACAGTACAAAGTCTGAAATCCAGATGTCCAATATCTAGATTAGGATTATTCAATTATGGCAAAGCACACGAGGGCTATCTGCTTAAAGGAAGGGATGCCTTCGTGGAGGGCTTTCTAAGGAAAACTGGCTCGTATACACGTTACACATGGGGAAAACCACGTAAACGCCCATGCAGCCAGCCCGTTCGCGAGATTTGAACCTCGAACTGAACTACCAGTGTTCAGCGTCTTTTACGCTTGGCCGCTGGTCGGCTCCTATATCTAGAATATGACTTGCTATTTTGGCCTCCAGACAGCAGCCTCCCTCAAAGAATTAATAAAAAAAAATAATCCCACTACAAAGGCTAGGAATGGACAATGTAATACTTGAAGGAAGGTGGTGTGTCATAAATACGATTTTTCTTCTAATTAACTAATTTCTGCATGTTACTTTCAAACACCTGCTAGGTAAGGAGTCACACAGTATCAAGTGACAGTACATATTGATGCTTTGATGTTGGCCAGGATTACATTTTTGGTGTTTGAGAGGGGTTAGCATTTTTTCTGTTCGACCTAAATGATAATTGGAGCCCCAATGTTACCATGCCTGTATACCATTTTTCTAGATTTAAACTGATGATGTAAAATCTGGAATTCTATTACAGTATAGTTAGTTCTGCATCACTTAATATTCCCCCTCTCCCCAATTTTTCTCAGCTTTTCTATACACCATTATGTGTAGTTAGGTGAGCAGATTTGTAAATATGTTATTTACATTCAGAAATGTGAATTCAGTGTTGAAAGATCTTTCTTGTGAGATGGAAAACTGTAATTATCAGGCACTTTTTAAAAATTAACTCAACCCGTAATAGGAATTTACTGGCAGATGCTACTTATTTGGTATTTGTAACTCTTGTGAATTTTATGGATGCTTCATTTGCAGAATTTGAAAGGAATTTAATCATGATTAAGGAATTTCAGTAGCTATCTTGTTTTGTCAAAAATGGAATGATTTTATCTGAAATTATATTTCTAATTTTACTATTGTAGTTCAAAAGTAGATTTCTGTAGTGCAATAGGCAATATTTTGGCCTTTAATAAAGTAAAAAAGTTTTTTTTTCCTCACTTGGTGTTAATTTGTACCTATTTTATGATTTTTATTTTAACTGTTGGTGTTGAGACCCAACAGAAATAAAACATATGTGATCTATTGAACCACAGATAATCGTTATGAAAATAAATCGTACACAACTGATGTAGTGGAAAATATACTTTGTTCCCTAGCAATGCAAGTAACAGTTTTAAGTTGCTCAACAGTGGCTGCTAGAATTTTAAAACAGTTACAATTGAAAAACCATAGTAGAATTAATGAAGACAGCAGCACATTTGGAGGGTAGGTGCGGTCATGCTGAATTTCAGTAAAGATTCTATTTAACTTTAGCATTGAAATAGCTATTTTTATGTTATCCTGTAGGTTCAGAATTTATTGTAAAACTTTTCACTGTTGCTTATTGTTATTTCATTAAACAGAATTGTTTAATCAATGTTAGGATAGCAATAGAATTTGATTGAAATGACTTTTGGATAAAAATTGCATGTTTTTCTGTCGGTGCATATACAATATCATGGATTCTTTTAGTTTGTGTGTAATATGATACTGCATAATGCAAATTTTACTAGTTTTGATGTACATGATCCCATTTTACATTATTTCCAGCTACTGCACTAAATTTAGTAATTTCCCCTGCAGGGTGTTATTAAAGTATTTAAATTCATTTCATTTTAATGCATAATTTATAACACTTAACTTTAGCTCTTCTCAGTTTTGAAGCCCGGGTAAGACCGTTAAATACCTCCAGTTTTTTTTTTACAGGCTCAGTCCCATATAACTGGCTTTTATGAGTTTTTTTTTTTTCTCATTCCCTGGAAAAAAATGCTACCTGTAGACATAAATCTAAGAGTGTATAAATTCTAACATAACCAAACTTTTAAACTCTTTATTTACAAAGTGTGCAATTGCATACGTCTGTTTTTATATTTGCATCTAAGAATGTGTTTATTTTCAGAATGGAGCAGCAAAAGCATTGCATTATTGAAGCTCTTGTCAAGAAGGGCAAAGCTATGTGTGATTATTTACTTCTAAAGGCAGATGTTAATGCAGAAATAGATTACGATAAAGAAACAAGTGAAACTTCTGATCATGTGGACTGTGAAAAAATGTTAATTGAAACTGAAAGTGTTGATCCATCTGCAGCTGACAATGTGAAAAATTTGTCACTAATTACTTTAGATGCAGTTGATGAAGTTTATTGTGAGCTTCAAAAATGGTGTGATATGTCAGACTCGAAGGTATGTTATAATTGCTTTTCTTCTTATTGAGTTTTATTACCCTTCGTTATGTTGCTATCTTACATTTTAAAACCAGAATTGGCTTGATTAATGTGTAAAGATTCAGAAGAACAGTGTTTTAAAAAATGAAAGTGATTGTGTGTGTGGATTTATATATTGCCTAATGCAGAGACAGATAGGCTGAGAGCTATGAAATTTGGGTTATCCAGATGGGGATCCTCAATGTTTGTCTAGCTGGGGGCCTGTGTGTACTTCAGAGCAATTTATTTTAAAATTTGACCTAGGTTATTTGATATTTACAAGATTTGTAGATTTTTGCATGTACCACTGCTAAACATTTAAAATTATACTTCAGACAGAGAAGAGAAAATGTTTTACACATATTTTACTCAAAATGTTGCATAGTTTTCAAAAATTGCTGAATTTGTTTTTGATAATTGCATCTCAGTTTTTAGTTTCACCATAAAAGTATGTATATCTCACAAAATGTTGAAATTTTCTCAGATAACACAAGCCTTTTAGCTTTCTTTTGAAATGAGAATTATAAAATTTTTTATTAGATAATTTTCTGCAACTTTTTGAAACATATATGCCCTTTCTGGTTTTAAAGAATTTTCTTATCTTTCTAGGCTATGCTGTTTATTATATGTAACATTATTTTCTTGTTTTTCTACTGAATTTGCACATACAAAAGGAAACATAATAAGAGTCAAAATCAAAAGCAAATTTTTATACCCGTCCTGCACAATAGCTGCTGGATTGAATAAAATAGATTTAAAAGTTCTAAAGTTAAAAGTAAATTGGAGTCACAGCAAGGTTATTCCTCAATAAAATTAATATTAGCAATCATGTACAAGAGGTTTAACACAAAATCCAAACATATCAAAATTAAAAAAAGAATTCATAGTAATACAAATAAAAATAAAAATGAAAATGCAGAAAGAGTAAAAAAAAAATCCAAGATACAAAAATATAAAAGTAAAATTAATCTCCTTTTACTGAAACTCCAATTCAGAACTCATCAGGGGAAAATTAATTAAAGCTTCACAAAAGTCAATTAATATGCTTCAAAAACGTGCTTTGTTCTCCTGGTTCATTTGGCATATGCCGCCATTTTGGAGTCGATGATCACCCTACTCGAAGGTAATCATTTTCCAGGCCACACCCAACATTTGGCACCCCCACACACAAAGTTTAACAGGATAGTACATTTTGAACACATGTTTAAATATTTAGTTCTGCTATTGGACACTTTGAATCTTATCACATTCTTTTTCCAAGAACTACAGTTTTTTGCATCTACTGAACAGCTTTGAATTCTTCAAAGAACAGTTTGATCGTCTGAAGAATTAAATATATTTCTTTTAGAAGATCATCCTAAGATTTCGGCAAGTTTGCCCTTTTTTTTTTTATTTTTGTTTCCAATTGGTATCCAGTTTTAGTTGATAAAGCTCGGATTTGATTCTATTATTTAAAGAATATTTGCAAAAAGTTTTTCATTTTCTTGGCATTAAAAGTTTAGTTTAGCATAATCGAGAATCACCCAATTTTTGAGTGTTGTGTAAAAGACAATTTGGTTTAAAGTGTATTAGATTTACTTTTTATATTTATATGTTTTTGAATTTCAGATTTGCATATAAGCATTTTAGACCAATTGGATTTTTTAATGGTCTTTTTGCTTAATGTAAAGTTTTGTAGTTTTTTTTTTTTTTTTTTTTAGTCAATTTAGCACAATTTTATGTTTTATGCATTTTACCGAGTTTTTCAAGGGCGTGTAGGAAAAATCCTGATACATTTGAGATTCAAGTTTTGGGTTTTTTATACATTTTCATATTTTAAATGAAAATTTAATAGCTTCTTTTTTTCGGTTTTTGATCTGAAATGAACCAGGAGAATGAAACACGCTTTCGAAACATGTTAATCAACTTTTCTGGAGCTTTAATTCATTTTCCCTTGTTGAGTTCTGAACTGGAGTTTCAGTAAACGGAGATTAATTATTATTTCTATATTTTTGTATCTTGCCTTTTTTAGCCTTTTTGCATTTGCATTTGCATTTTTAGAGTTTGTACTACTATGACTTCTTATTTTAATTTTGACATGTTTAGATTTTGTGTTAAACCTTGCGATTGGTACTATTAATATTGTTGAGGAATAACCTTGCTTTGACTCTAATTTACTTTTAACTTTAGAATCTTTAAATTTCTCTCTCTGTGTATATACAGTACAAAGTCCGAAATCCAGACTTCGTCGATTCCGGATTTGGGATTTTTCCGGATATTAAATCATTAGTTTAAATCTAGTAAGATTTTTGAGTGAAATCATAATTCTAGCAACAATGCACTGAAGCTTCAAATCATGCTGTATACTGAAAAAAAGAAATTGCTTTTTTCAGCTGTATACCTGAATTATGGAAATTATTATGCTGCATACCTCTGTATTTGTGTGTATTTAATTATGGCAAAGCACACGAGGGCTATCTGCCTAAGGGAAGGGATGCCTTCGTGGAGGACTTTCTAAGGGAAACTGGCTCGTATACATGTTACACATGGGGAAAACCACGAAAACGCCCATGCAGCCAGCCCATTCGCTGGATTTGAACCTCAGACCGAGCTACCAGTGTTCAGCGACTTTACCACTCGGCCGCTGGTGGGCGCTGCTGCATACCTGAATTGCAGTATTAATAAAAAATATTAATTTCATATTTTATTTAGCTATTAGTAAAATTTGTATTGGTTCTAGAAACAATGAATGACTCAATTTCTGTGGGAATACTTCAGCAGCTGAGGAAGGAAATCTTCCTTGTCAAAATGGATACCTGAAAAGTTTTATGAGCTATATATTCATTTTTCAAACTGTCTTAAATGAATTAGAAGTTAAAATAAAAATTCACATTTATATCTCAGTGTGAAGAAAAATATTTTTTAGTAGGTGCATTTTTGTTTCCCCATGAATGAAAATATAAATTTTTGTTTTATCATCACTGTGAACTGTATAGCGTTTTATGAAGGCTGACTACAGGTCAGCCTTCAAGAAACACTATGCAGTGAATGGCAAAGTGAAGATGAATCCTGTGCTTACACAGGATATATGTGTTCAGGTTATTTAAGCTTGGTTAGGTAACAGGCTTGGTTATTTATGTGTTCTTATGTTCTCTCGTGAACATAATATCAGAACTGATATTATGCTTGCAAGAAGCATACAAGTTAAACATTGTCCACTTAACACGGGAAGGAGTTCTAAGCCCATCTAGAATTCTCTTGCTTTCATTGAAGTTTTGTTAGCTCTTTGTTTTGATGTTTTTGACCTGTAGATGTTTATTTTGTTTTATTTTATAGTTTATATTTTCTTAATTGGGGATATAATATTAGCTTATTTTGTCTGACTTTTAATTAATTTGCAAATGAATATGAGACAGGGCTCACCATTTTTGAAGCACTGAAAATGCTAAACAAATTGCCTTCAGATAGTGAATCCAATACGAAGAGCAGAGATGAACATTTTTGAGCGGTATAGAGAGTAGCAGGCCTACACATTGTGCACCCTAAGTAATGCTAGATCTGCTATGGTAATCAGAATCTAGTGTTTTTTAGGCAAAATCTTTTACACTGTTACATGCATCCCAGCAATGCTGTCTTCAGTGCTGTTTTCGAAGCTCCATTCATTCTGTGAGCCTGACTCAGGCACACCCACAAAATTAAAATGGTATGTGCTATCTTTTAAAAATTTTATCTGTGTACTCCTCTAGGTCTGATTAGACTGCCTACTTTTTTGGGTGTTGAGATTCCAACTTTAAAAGTTAGCATGCTGGAAAGGGTTAATCAGTCTACTGCTAACACAAAGACACTAGTTTCCAAAAGTTAAGCAACAAACAGAAAATTGATGATAATTTAGAAAGCATGCAAGCAAATTAGACATTTGGTGAAAATATTTATTATACCATTTGCAACTTTAAAGATTGGAAAATCTTATACAGGATATTTACATTTTGTGATAGCAACAAGCACATAAATCTCTTTCATTCAGACATACACATTAAATACAGAAAATTTTTCAGTAGTGAGTATACTTACCCTGAACAGAAATACAGTCTTTGCAGTGATTGCAATTGCTGTTTATTTTGGTTGTCAATGAGCTGCATGGGTTGCAATGCCCACTTTACACGTGAAGGAGTTCTAAGCCCATCTAGAGTATGCGGAGGAGATTAGAGGCCCGCAACACATCTTCTGAGAGCATCCTGCATATGTCCGCATATGCTGCATGTACTCAGTAGAATTAAGACTGATAGAACATGCTGGCCGTTCATGTGGACATTTTCTTTTTGAAACAATTGGTGCAGAAATGAAGGTATCACCAACTGCACAGCACATATATATACAATGTAGGGTCCTGTGTGTTTTTTCTGTACCTCTAAGCATATTTAAGTCTTTGTGCCCATCTATCCATACAGGAACACTCCCTTCTGCATAGGTATCCCTTTCCCATATGTTAGACAGAAAATGTAAAATGTTTACTTTTTCTCCATATGTAAACACATCAAGAATCACTCTGTGAAGCAAAGTGAAACTCATCAGTGAACAGAAGAGTCTTCTTACTAGTTTTCAGTCATTTACATGACTCTGTGCCCTGTTCAATCTCCTTCTGGTGGTCGAAGGTAAGCAGGATGTACTATGCGAGTCAAGTAGTGTTCAGACTTCTTTTCTGCAGCACCTTCTGCATACTGTCATAGCTGGTAATGTCCTTCCTGTAGCAAAAATAAGCCCAGATCTAAACTGAGATGGAGTTGGACTCCTGTTGCAGGATAAGTCACAGATGCTGGTTATCTGAAGAAGTGTGAACTCTCGGCCTACCTTCAGTAGGTCTTTAAGAGGTTGAACCAATTGTTAGAAAATGGTTCCACAGATCTGCTTGTAATCAGCCTATGACTCTGTAAGGAAATTCTGTTCACAAATATAATTTTTATATTTATCTCAAACTCATTTTTACAGTTTAGCTATCTTGAAATTGTTTAATATACCATAATTCATTGAATAGCAATTCCGTCCTAAACAACTGGTTTTAAGCTGCATTATATTTATGCAAAATTATGGCAGTGCCTCTCTTTTGCATTATGCTTCTTGATGCAGCATGCTTTTATCTGTAAGTTTAGCTATCTTGAAATTGTTTAATATACCATAATTCATTGAATAGCAATTCCGTCCTAAACAACTGGTTTTAAGCTGCATTATATTTATGCAAAATTATGGCAGTGCCTCTCTTTTGCATAATGCTTCTTGATGCAGCATGCTTTTATCTGTAAGATATCCAAATTTCAAGAATTCGAAACTATTTTAGCTGATTTATCATCATTTTTCAATTTGTTGCTTAACTGTTGGAAACCAGAAAACAGAATTTAGATAAAATTATGTAAAATTGATAAATTTAATTAAAAGTAGAAAATGTAGGCACAATTTATCATAGATATTTCTTATTGTTTATGGCTTGCCAGCAGCCAAGTAATAAAGTCACTGGCTGGAAGTTTGGTCAGGCCTATTTCTCTTAAAAAGTCCTCGAGGCATCTCTCCCCTTAGGCAGATAGCCCTTGAGTGCTTTATCAGAATGTATTTATAAATTGCAGACCAAAAATCCTCTTCCCAAAACAGAATGTTTATTAAAAAATATGAAATCGATTACTTATGTTGTGAAACTGTAATATGTTCAAGAAAATAAGTGAAAAAAATTAATTTGAATAATATGAATATGCAGACTTCTTGGATGCAGAGAAATTTTGTTCTAATTCAAGTTTGTCCAAAGTTTTATTAAATATATTTAACACTAGCTCTATGAATTATTTGAATTTAATGCTCCCCTTTTTCTCTTGAAAGTGAAAATAGATCCTCATATTAATTTATAAAATGTGTAAATATCAGCAGTATTCATAACACAATAAGTGAAATTTTAAAAGCCTATGTCACTGATTTGACCAGTACCAGCATTAACTATACCATGGCTCAAATTTTTATTTGGCAGTGGGATAAATTACAAATTGATTAATATAATTTATTTTCTAAACATACTTGGAAATATGTTGTAGTGCAATAATGTGTCAATCAAGCAAAATTGAATTATGCCTCTAGGATATAAACTGAGTGCTAACTTTATCATTTCAACATAGACCTTTAATCTGTGAAATTTAAATTTAACATCTCAGGCGTTTAATCTGTGAAATTAAAATTTTTATTTGTGTGTTTTTTATTATTTTACATGCTATCCAATATTTAGTTATATATTAATATATAAATACTATATAATACTATAACCAGCTTTTGAATGCATAAAATTTTAACCTCCATTCATAAATATAATATTTTTTTTAATTTGGTGTTTAGCAGCATGCTGTTTATGAAAATTCAGAATACGTGCTTGTGTAGGAGCATTTGGTGCACCATTAGTGGAATTTATTTTTATGGTTGAATTTTATTTCTCTCTATATATATATGTATTACATTTAAACAAATTTAAATTCTTAACAAATATGTATAAAAGTAAAAAAGCAAATTTAAATTTAAAAAAAAAATGTGCAAACATGTAAAAGATTTAATTCTCGAACTAATCTACAATATCATTTAAATTCAGAAGCATAAGCAAATAAAGTGCAAAATCTATCCATGAAAATAAATCTACTAATTTAATAAATTAAAATTAAATGAAAATTAAATTAAACAATTTAAAAAAAATGCATATGTGAATGACCATAGAATAGCCTCCAAACCTAACTCCCCAATCATTCAATTCGTAAGTGGTAGATACCCTTAGAAATTAACATTTAAGTATTAACATTTAAGAATTAAAGTTCAAAAAGGAAAATACTAATGAAGTCTTTTGGTTTTGACTTTTACCCTTGCCTGCATGAAAGACAAAACACGAATTGAATGATTGGGGAGTTAGGTTTGGAGGCAACTTCCCCTTGATAAGTCTGTCTCCTGCCTATTCTATGGTCATTCACATATGCATTTTTTTAAAATTATTTAATTTAATTTTCATTTAATTTTCATTTATTAAATTAGTAGATTTATTTTCATGAATAGATTTTGCACTTGATTTGCTTATGCTTCTGAATTTAAATGATATTGTAGATTAGTTCGAGAATTAAATCTTTTACATGTTTGCACTTTTTTTTTTTTTTTTTCGAATTTAAATTTGCTTTTTTATTTTTATACGTATTTGTGAAGAATTTAAATTTCATTCCTTGCAGCAATGGTGCAAAGAATATTTAATTAAATATGTATTTAAATTTAATTTTTTAATTAAATTCGATTATTCTTATGTATTACGTTTATCTAGTATTGGTATATTTTTTTGAGATATTTATAATTTTTAGGTTTTTAATTTCAACTTTCTTATTTTCTATTTATTGGATATTTTGAAATTTATTAGTTTTGAATTTTTATTTTTGGGGGCCTTTGTGTAAAATGCATTCTAAATTTCTTACTTTTTATCTATACTGATAAATTTTCATCAGCATATTGCATGAAAATACTTTGAATGTACTGTATAAAACTGGACAATCCAGAAAGCTTAGGAAATGCGAAGTGTCAGATATATGAAAATTCCTGTTAGTTAAGTGTATAAAAAATCCAATTAACAGTAGGAAATCCAAATGATGAAAGAAGAAATTTCCAGTCTAAAGTGACAGACACAATCATTTGGTATTTGTTTGTGCTCATTTTTCCAAAGCCCGCATTTAAAATTATGTTTTTGGGGGGTAAGAAAATGCACTGTAGACATAAAAGCTGATGTGTTTTTTAATAGGCTTTAATCATGTAGAAGTAAAACATCTTTTCCAATTATAAAATTTCATCGACCATGAAATTTGGTAAATATCCTGCCAAACTTGCAGCAGTGATTCCGGCAAAAGTTTGGGGTTTTTTTTATTTAGTCAGATAATCAACAGATATAACAAATAAAAACTTTAATCACTTGTCATATTTTTTACATTTATCAACACTGTATATTCATTTTAAAATAAAGTCACATATTATACCCGTTAGTGCACTTTTCTTGATGTTGGATCGCATAATTTTGAAAACATTGCACTCCAGGCTGTTCTGTTGAAGTGAGTTGAAAGCGGGTCCCCAATTTTAGACGTTTTATGAAAATGAGAGGGAAAATAGACAAATATAATTAATTAATGTTGTTCTCTACAAAAATTAAATGGGCTTATCAAGGATTAATTAATTGGTTTAATTGGTTTTATATAAAACCAAGGCAAAGATCTTAAGATTGTGTTGTTTATGCTTGTCCGTTATTGGCAGTAAATGGCGTTGTACGGCTGTACTTTTGGTTGAAAATGGTCAATGTAAAAGTTTGAACCCATCAGCATGAAGTTCACGATAGGCTTATCATAAAGCATATAATAATAAAAAATAATACGTTCATAATTTTAATTCTCATCTGTGTTATTGCACCAAGGCACATCATCTTCAGTGCCATTTAAAACATTTGTAAGGCAACATTTTTAAAAAAATTTCTTTTTGATAATATCTTTAGGAATATCTTTTCATGATTATTAGATATCAGCAAAAATGTTAAAATATTCATTATGAAAGTAGCTGTTATATAATTTTACATTTAAAAAATCTTAATAAAATGTGTAGCTGAAATTTGAAGTGTTATGGTGATTCATATTGCGTTCTTATGCCATGTATTTACAGTAAGCTAGTATTAACCTTTTGGTGGTCATCGATGAGCTCAGCTCGCATTCCATTTATGCACTACAGTGAGTGCAAACAAACACATTCCCATTACCAATTTGCAACTGACAAATATTGTGCATATTTAGGAAGTAAGGATTGCTTAATCTTGCAACTGCTGAAGGATTAATGCTAGTGAGAAGTTAGTTTTATTATCCACTGTTTCTTAATATTTTTTTGTTATGTTCTAGGAAATTAACTTTTAGTGATATTCTACAAGTTTATTAAATCAGTAAATCAGGATTATTTATGGTTACTGATTTGAATCGTCTACTAAAATATGTGTACTAATACTCTACAAATTGATTGAAAAGGGCTGTACTCGCATTAACTTTTAAATTTCTCATACCCTATGCACTTCCTTGTGTTTCTACAATAAATGCATGCCTTGGTTAAGCAGAATTACATTTTACATAAGAAAATTACTACAGTATGTATTGTAAAAATGTTACCATACTCTGTTGTGCATTAAGATTGGAATATTTAATTGACATTTTCAACTTTTTCCCTTCAGAAATATTATACTGTCTTGTGTGCAGCTTAATTTGGGCTGTGTTGTCAGTAATTCATAATTTGTATTCATTTTAGGTTTCTTTATTTACTGAGAAACATGCTTTAGTACACTGTCATTATGGGAGAGCACTGAAAATTCTTCTTAAGCAGCAAGATGAAAAAAGAAATTTAGATACAGAGAAAAAGTGCATAGAAGTATGTTTCCTGCTTTTCATACTATATATGTATAATATTTTCTCCATTGCATCTAAAATTCACTTAGTAGATTCATGTAGAATAGTGTTTTAATAACACCAAGAATTTGATTTCATAAAATCATATATTCACTTTGTTATGGGTAAAGCATTCCTACCTCTCTCTCTGCTTCTCTTCTTTCTCTCTTTGTATGTGTATGTAGTAGGTACTAGGATGTGTGCAAAAAAAAATATCTACAGAGCTTTATTATCTTGGACAACATGTTTAGTTACATTAAAGTAGTATATACAAATTTTCACAATGTGGAGTAATTGTAAATCATAAATTATTACATGCTTGGTAAAAATTGACAAACATCATGTACAAATTATTCCACTGGCAGATACAAAAAAGGTTAATGATTTATTAGCTCATTACTGTATTTTCCTTGTTATTGGTTTTTTATAATTTACTTTTAGTTATGAAAATTTGGGTCTTTTCATTGCAATGTAATGGAATGTAATTGGTTTTTGCATTGTTTTATTTCTTTGTCTTTCAGGTATATTTTATAACTGAGGAGTAATTTTTAAAAACTAAATACTAATTTTAAAAGTGCAGAGAAACTTAATCATCATGGATTTCAGCAACTTACAGATCTTTTCATTAATTTTGTAATAATTTTTCTATATCCAGTATCTTAAGAGATGTGAAATAAACTAAAACTAGGTAAATATTAAATATAATTCGTATAATACCTAAATTTCAAATCCATTTTCTATTTCAACAGCCTGTTTTATTATAGTCAAACTTCATTATTTTGTTTTAATTCCTATAAAAAATTCAGGTACAATTTGAATTCTAATCCTCCTTCCCAGATTTAAAATTTCTTTTATTAGTGTTACTAATTGCAAAGTTATTAATTATAATTTCATTCCTTTTGCAGCTGTACAAGAAAATTGACTGGAACCATTGTGCATATTTTTATGAAAGTAGTCTTTTAGTTCGGTTCCCATTGTCATACCGATTATTTTAATATGTTCCTTTTTTAACTTTCATTACATATAATCATCTTCATAAACAGATCTTTGAAAATTCTACACTGCATATGCTAAGAATGAAAAGTTTACAGGTAGTAAAATGACAGTTTTTTCTAATTATTTTACAGGCGAGTTTGCGTTTTTGTAGAAATATCTTTCTATAAAATTCTTTCTGTACTGTATTAACTGATATAATATAAATATTTTGTCATGGACTATTTTAGAAATGGATTTTTAATTCTATATACTGTTGTATTAAATTTGCTTTGTCTGATTTCTAATGTATGGTGAAATGTTAAGTGTAGCAAAAATTTACTTATTGATGTAATTTAAGTGTAATCAAATTTTACTTTCCACAAAATCAGTAAAATTTAAATTTACCATCTGCAAAATCAGTAAGGAGGTTTTAGATTACAAACATAAAAAGAGGTTCTTACTTTTAATAATTAATTATATTGAAAAACTTTTTTTAAAGGTTTGGGTTTTAAAGATTTAGCAAACAATGTGTTATATGGAAAGAATAATTTCTCTTTAGTATATTTAGTATATAAAAGTCGAAAATGTTATTCCATGTATGGCCTGGGAGTTACATGAAAATATAGTAAAGATATATTTTCTCAAGTACATTTTTGCATGTAATTTATTTAAAATCTTCTTACAGGAAATTCATGAAAGGAAATACTAGAAAACTCCATTTATACTAAAAAATATTCCTCTTATTTAAATCTAAACCATTAATCTAAGTATTTCTGCTTTATCTGCTTTAACAGTTTAACCCTCTGCCTGCTCAATTTGTGGACCAAAATCACTTCCAATTTTTTTTTTTTTTCATATTTTAAATCTATATATATTGGAAATGCACTTTGTCTTTCTAGAAAATATTTTTTATATAGATTTTTATGATGAGAAACTAAGTTGCCCAAAAAACCAATTTCAGATGTTACCACCAAAAAAAATCTTTTTTTAAATAAATTTTAGTTGAATTACAGTTAATTTCTATTTATGGCATAATATAAAAAAGTAAAAATGTACAAAATTTAAGAAAATATAAAGCACTGAGTGAAAAATACCTTAGAAATGCAGTTTAACATGATAGAGTTCAAAACAGGGTTCAAGGCAAAGTCCAGCTTCACAGTCTTTGCACCAGCTTCAATAAATCCAATTAATGATTGATCTAATTATTAATATAATCAATAAATCTAATTAATAATTCAATAATTTAATTAAATAATTAAGATAATCGCTGAACGTTTTCTAGCAGCCATTTCTGTCAGAAAAAGTGAAGTTTGAGCGCTAATACCACGTGCCTTCAAATGCAGCAATTTAGTGGACAACTAATGATATCTTTAGGCCAAAAGGTAAATCAAACGCCTAATACTGCATATAATTTATTTCAATGGTTAAATGGGATCCACTCCTCAATAAAGTAAGAAAAACATATGCCCGCGGGATAAGCAAATTTTGCTACATTTGAGTTGCTCGTGGAAATCGCAGGATGATCAGCCAGAGGGTTAATATAGAACAAAAGAATGGTAGAATTCTGAAATATTTATTATAGTTATATATAGTTCTATGTCAATTTTTATTTTTTATATCAGTATTTAATATTATTTCTGTATGTTATAATTGAAAAGAACATTATGTAATTTCTATCTCTTGTATGAAATTTGTAAGTGTGAAAACATTGTAATAAATTTCTTTTACTGGCTATATCTAAAATCTGTTTTTTTGTGTGACTATATGATATTTGTCAAATGTAAATGCAGATTTGCAAAAAGATACATAATTCATAATTTTAAATTCATTTTAAATTCTGTAGAAGAGCACTTTTGAAATGATTTTGTTATTTTTATAATTTTAAATCTTGATACTGGATAGTATTGATTGGATATTCGGAATTATATACTGAAGTGTAGAATTTCTCTTTAATGCCTGTTAAAATGAGAAACACAAAATACAATTAGGGCATGTTTTTGTGATTGTTATGATGGCATGTACATCAGGATATTAGCAGCACAAATAGTGCTTTCTGAGAAGTTTTCATCTGTAATTATTGGAAACATTACAGCATGATCATAAATAAGCATTTCCTATTATAGTTTTTTTTTTAATTCTCAAATATTTAGATTTTGAGTGAGGAATTTATTGGGTTGGCAAATACGTAATTGCGGATTTCACTCATACATGGCTTCAGTTGAATTTTTAGGGTTGCAGACGTAGTACAAATGTAAAACACATTTTATTATTTGATAGTTGGCAATTCAGCTGTCAATCAGTAAAAAACATGTTTTGATCGGTTGCGTAGTTTTCGTTTGGTGTTCGTTGAAAAATGGAAAATCAAAAGGAACATTTTCGTCATATTTTGGTTTTTTATTTCCGCAAAGGAAAAAACGCATCGCAAGCTCATAAAAAGTTATGTGCTGTTTATGGTGACGAAGCCTTAAAAGAACGGCAGTGTCAAAAGTGGTTTGCCAAATTTCGTTCTGGTGATTTTTCACTCAAAGATGAAAAACGCTCTGGTCCGTCCAGTTGAAGTTGATGACGACCTAATCAAAGCAATAATCGATTTCGGATCGTCACAGTACAACACGTGAGATTGCAGAGAAGCTTCATGTATCACATATACATGCATTGAAAATCACTTAAAACAACTTGGCTATGTTCAAAAACTCGATACATGGGTTCCTCACGAAAATGAAAAGAAACGCATTTAACGCAACGCATTAACAGCTGCATTTGCGATGAAAATTCCCTAAAGAAAGAACTAAAGAAACGTAATGAAAATGATCCATTTTTAAAACAACTGATAACTGACAATGAAAAATGGGTTGTTAGAAACAATATCAAGCGGAAAAGATCGTGGAAAAGACCAAGTGAACCAACTCAAACAACATCAAAATCTGATATTTATCAAAAGAATGTTTTGTTATCAGTTTGGTGGGATTACAAAGGAATTGTTTACTTTGAACTCTTACCACACAACCGAACGATCAATTCTGATGTCTACATCGAACAACTAACGAAATCGAACAATGCAGTTGAAGAAAAGCGGCCCGAATTGACAAATCGAAAAGGTGTTGTATTCCATCATGACGATGCAAGACCACACACATCTTTGGTCACTCGGCAAAACATATTGGAGCTTGGTTGGGATGTTTTGCCACATCCACCATATAGTCCCAACCTTGCACCATCTGATTACTTTTTGTTTCGATCTTTACAAAACTCCTTGAATGGTAATAATTTCAATAATGATAATGATGTCAAATCGTACCTGATTCAGTTTTTTGCTAATAAAAACCAGAAGTTTTATGAACGTGGGATTATGATGCTGCCTGAAAGATGGCAATAGGTCATTGATCAAAATGGGTAATACATTACAGAATAAAGTTATTTAGTTCCATGAAAAAATTGTCTTTAATTTTCTAAAAAAAATCCGCAATTACTTAGTTGCCAACCCAATAGAAGCTGAAAAATACATAGATACTTAAAATTTATTCATTTTCAGGATAGTTTGATTCTCCTTTTCTAATTAGTGTGTTTCCTACAAATTGTGAAATCTGCATAAATTAGCGAAAAAGGGACTTGTATGTAGACAGTGAGAAGTGCTTCATTTTTTAGATTTTAGACTTTTTTGATTATGTATTGACCATCTTTTGGGGTACGAAACAGTTATCTAAAAAAGTTTACATTTGGCCCTGTATTCTATTATAAGATTTGAGTAAGCTGAAACAAAATGGAATTTTCTGATGATTTTTCTCATTTTGTACATTAAATATTCAATAGATGGGTTTGTATACGATGTAGAGTATTCAGCATCAGTGTTGTTGCATTTTAAGTGATATAATGATGGTAGAAATGATAAAAATTTTTAGAAGTACATTCATGCTATTCCCATCGTACTAAAATATTTGAAAGCATTTTGGTTTTATAAAAAGGATGGGGATTATCTGATATCTGGTTTTTCCTATGTGAACATGAAGCAATGCCCTTAGAAAGTGCTCCATGAAGCCATACCTCCCTTTAGTCAGATAGAGCCCTTGTGTGCTTTGCATATTCAAATAGCATAACCTGTTTCTAGTTTATTTGACTATTGCCTTTATTATTTCACATAAGCAGTTAGCTATATTTTCAACCTTTCTGAGAATATCTTAAAAATACAGTCGAATATATTCTTTATTTCATCCTTTTTACTGCTAAGAAGTCATAAGGTTTATAGTGTGTCTGTGTTAGTATAGTCAAAAGTCTTTAATCCGGACTCTTTGGGACCTTGGCGATTCCGGATTATAGATCATCAGTTTAAATCTGGTAAGATAGCATGCAGAAATTATAAAATTAAAAATATGAAACCGTAATTTATGAAATAAAGAGCAATTATGATCTAAAGGGTATCAAAATTTACAAAAAAAGCTTAATATTTATTTGTTTACTTTATTAAACATTTCTTTCAACGTGCGCATGCGTTAAGCATACATTACGCATAGTCGAAATTCGAAAATTGCAACCAGAAAACTATTTGATGTGTACTCGTGATATTTATAATGACGAGGAATTTGATTTAAATCATATCAAAGACGGAATACATCGAGATGAAATACTACATTTAGTAAAGAATTATAAGCTGAATAAAATAAAAACATCTGCCGTGAAGATAAGGATAGTGCTGACAGATCAACTTCCAGTTCATTGCGCGCTGCGACGTCCCCCCCTGCAGAGCAGCGTGAAATTGATAAACAGATTTCGGAATGGTTAGAGAAACAAAGGATATTCCTTTATCCATTTTTTGCAGCAATTCCCCCTTTTTGTTTGATGGACATCGAAACATACTTTCGCATTGTAGATCCTTTGGTAGCTCCAGCATCGGAAATTCTATTTGACATAATCGAAAGTTCAAGCTTACTTTTATAAAATTGCTCTATCTGCGAAAAGTAATAAGCCGGATCCAATTCGAAGATTAAGGAACAACGCAATCTGCAACATTAACTGAAATAGATAATTTTAGCTTAGCTTATACCATCCGTTATACATTAAACGTGCATGCGTAAACATATTATTCACATGCGCACACGCCTATGCACATGCGCAGAAAGTTTGTAGCTTTGAGGTCTGGATTATAGATCACTCCAGGGGTGTCCGGATTAACGACTTTTGACTGTATTGTGAAATTTTCAAATGGGACAAATCTGAGAAAGCATTCTGAAAAATTTTGAACAAAGGGCTACTTTTCATTAAAAAATAATATTTTGCTGGTTAAATGATCACACTCTACAAAAAAATATTATAGAGCCATATAAGAAATTGATCAAGAATTGGAAAGAATTTCATTGGAGCTGCTTTTTATATTATTACCATTTGTATAAATGAATGGCTTTTGTAATGCGATGTAAAGACATACTGCCATTATATTTTTCAACTACAGTACAAAGTCTGAGATTCGGATGCCCAATATCTGGAATGATCTAAAATCCAGACATTAAAGCCACCAACAGTCTTTTTTTTCTTTTAGGAATTTTATTTTGTATGCTGTATGCATGCACATTTCGTTTCTTCCTTCCATAACAAAGCATGCAGAGAGTCCGGACTCTTTATTTCACTTCAGCACTAAATAAAATACTTTGTTACTGAAGACACAATCATTTTAGCATAGATTTGTATGAGCAATAACTTTACTGCGTATCTGCTTGGCATGCATCTCAAACCGAAACATTCTGCATAGAAACATTATTGATTTTACACCAATATTTTATATTTAAGACACAATAAGACGCCGAATGAATACTAATTGAAAGCATGTTTATCAGTGCATGACAACTTGAGTAATGATTCGTGCAGAGATGCCTAAACAATTTTTATATTAGTATGACAAAGATTATGGTAACCATTTATGTTGACATTACGCTTGGCAATAATTA